CCATCCACCCAGGTCCATCACCCACCCCTCTATCCCTGCCGTTCCACTCTTCCTCCCTCCCTCCCGCCCACCCTCCATCCATCCATCCATCCACCTGCCACCAATCCCTCTATCCCTGCGGTTCCACCCTCCATCCATCCATCCATCCACCTGCCACCAATCCCTCTATCCCTGCGGTTCCACCTTCCCTCCCTCCCGCCCTCCATCCACCCAGGACCATCACCCACCCCCTATCCCTGCGGTTCCACCTTCCCTCCCTCCCTCCCTCCCTCCCTTCACTTCCTCCCTCTCTTCCCGGTTTCCATCCCCCGCCCCCCGGTTTGGCGTCCCCCCTCCTCTAACCCCCCGTGCCCTCCTTTGCAGGCACCTACCAGGGCCAGTGGCAAGCCGGGAAGCGGCACGGCTACGGCGTTCGCCAGAGCGTCCCCTACCGCCAGGCTGCCTTGGTGTGCTCCCTGCGCCGCACCTCGCTGGAATCGCTCCGCAGCGACCCTGACCCTGGCGGGCCCCCTGCTCCACTCCCTCCCCCTCCCCTGCCCCCTCCGCTGCTCCCGGGGGACAGCCCGGCCTCGGGCTCCCGGGGCGGCTTCGTGCTGGCCTTCCCCGGTGACCCGCACTTCCCCAAGGGGGCCAAGAAGAAGACGGGGGGCTTCTTCTTCCGGCGCTCCCTGCTGCTGAGCGGTCTGCGGGTGCGCCGGGCTGAGTCCAAAGCCTCTCTGGGCAGTAAGCGGGGCTCGCTGAAGAGTGAAGCCGGGGTGAGCTCGACCGGGAGCGAAGCCACCACCCTGAGCTACGCCGAGACCGAACCCCCCGAGATGCCGTCGCGGTTGGCCATCGAGGGCTCCTCCACTGAGGTGTACGCCGGGGAGTGGCGTGCCGACCGGCGCAGCGGCTACGGGGTCAGCCGGCGCTCCAACGGGCTGCGCTACGAAGGCGAGTGGCTGGGGAACCGGCGGCATGGCTACGGGCGCACCACCTACCCCGACGGCACCAAGGAAGAGGGCAAGTACAAGCTCAACCGCCTGGTGAGCGGCAAGGTCAAGAACCTCATCCCGCTCCGGCGCAGCAAGGTGAAGGAGAAGGTGGACCGGGCGGTGGAGATGGCCCGCAGAGCCGTCAGCCTGGCCAGGCAGAAGCAGGAAATGGCGGCCACCAGGTCAGCTGGCAGACGGGGGCCACTGGCGGCTGTGGGGTGCTGGGGAGCTGGAGCATTGGGGGCTGTCAGGTGTGGGTGGGGGAGTGCAGGGAGTGTGGGGGGAGAGGGACTGTGGAGGGGAACGTGGGGTGGGGACATACGGGACTGGGGAGAATGGGGTACATGGAGGAGTGGGGGATGTGGAGGCAGAGCATGGGGTGGGTTTTGGGGGGAAGGGGGATGGGGGATTGGGGATGTAGGAGGGGAGTGGGTGCAGAGGGGAGGGGAGATGTAGAGGAATGGCTCGGGGGGCAGTGTGTGTGGTCAGGGGGCAGTGGACGTGTGTCTAAATAACACTCCCTGTTACACTCTCTGGGGCCTGCAGTGGGACTGGGATTTGAATTGGGCTTCAGGGGTTTGGGCAGGGAGCCCCTCTGGGTCCTGGGATTCACCTCTGAAAAACACCCCAGAACACTGCCTTTTCTCCTGGCCACAAATCTAGGCAAGGCCCAGGCTTCACATAGGCCTTGTAGGCCTCAGTAGGCCCAAAGTCATAACTCCTCCATCCACATGGAGGGGCCTCTTGTCCCACAACTCCCTCCCCAGGTACCATTTTCCCTCCTTCCTGAACCTTCACTTCCTGCCTGGGAAGGGAGACCTCAAACCATGATGGGGAGAGGTCATGAGGGGGGGCGGTCACTGGCAGCCATCTTGAAAGTTGGCTCAAGTGACCCCCCGAGTGGGTAGACATCTTGAAACATGGGTTAACTGACACCCCGAAGTGGTAGCCATCTTGAAAGTTGGCTCAAGCCAGCCCAACTGGGTAGCCGTCTTGAAAGTTGGATCAAGTGACCCTCAACTGGGGTAGCCATCTTGAAATCAGGTTCAAACCACCCTCAGCTGGGCAGCAATTTTAAAGTTGACTCAAGTGACCTCCCCAACTAAGCAGCCATCTTGAAAGCTGGTTGAAATGACCATGGAACACCAACTTGTCCATTCTCCCAGAGGCACATGGGTTATTTTGTCAACCACCCTCCCTGCGGGCATGCATGGGTGAAACAGGGGCTGGATGGGAACTAATTAACGATGGAGTCCCAGTAGGCAAATGAATTGGGAGGTCCCAGTGGTCAGCTGAGGGGCTGCAGAAGAAGTCCCACCCCTACTAAGAAGGGGGAGTTCACCCTGCATTAGGGTAAGGTCAAGAGGGAGGTCAAGAGTAGCCATCTTGAAAGTTGGTTCTAATGACCCCAGTTGGGGCGGCCATTTGAAGTTGGTTCAAGTTACCCCAATTGGGGCAGTCATCTTGAAAGTTGTCCAGTTGGCCCGGACGGAGGAGAGGCTGGGTGGCTGAGTGAATGGCGTGGAGGCCTTGCTGAGATTGGGGTGCTGGAGGGGAAGGCCCTACCGCCCAAACTTGACCATACTGAGGTGCTTTCTTGGGGATCATTGGGTTTCTAGCTGGCATAGGGAAAGCAGGTGGGTGGATGGACTTGGCTGCCAGAACTTGTGTCCTTGCCCAGCACTGGAATTGAGACGTTGGCTCTGCCAACAAACAGCGATGATGGCTCCTCTCTGTCTGGCTGGAGTTTGCTTTTCTCTCCTTTCCTCTGGCACTCTCCTTCTCTTGTTGCTTTTCGTTAATTATTTCTTTCGCTGGCTGTCTCGTTTTGTGTCTCGTTTTGTCTTTCTTTCTTTCTTTCTTTCTCTCCCCCACCATTCCCTGCTCTTCCCCCCCACCCCCCTGCCATGTTGCCCTCCCCAGCCAGGGCATGGTTGGAGGCTGGGGGTGGGGAAGACAGGTTACATGGAGTGTGTGCAAGGGCCTAGCAGAGGCTGCCTGGTCTCCTAGGCAACCGGGTGATGGCAATAGCAATTGGCTGGCGGTTGCTGTGGAAACAGCGGAGCAGCAGCATCCACTGGGCATGGGGGGGGGCAGAGAGGCTGCTGGTGGGGGAAGGGCGCTTCCCCTGGCATGGAGCGGGAGGGGGCTGGGAATTAGGGGGAGGGCGTTGGGGACTGGGTGAAGTGCAGGGGCAAGGTGGGGGCTGGGCACTGTATAGGGATGGATCGGGGGTGATTCCTGGGGTCCAGGGTGTGTGATCAGTAACTATGGGTGGGAACAGGTGCTGGGGCCCAGGGTGGGTCTGGATGGGTGCTGGGGCTGGGTGGGTGGCTGACGGCAAGGGATCAGGGCTGTGGGGTAGGATGGATGGGGAGGGGTGGTAGGTGCCGAGGGTTAGGCTGGGGGCTTGGTTGGTTGCACTGGGGATGGGTGCAGGATAGGTGGGCAGGCTTGGCTGGGGGAGGGGCCAGCGCTGACCCCAGGGAGGTCCCACCCCACAGAGACCCACCCTGCCCTCTCCCCAGGGCGGCCGATGCCCGGCTGAAGGCCACGGCCGCGCTGGCCTCTGCCGAGAAGGCTGTGGAGGCGGCTCGAGTGGCCAAGATCCTGGCCCAGGATCTTCAGCCCATCCTGGATGACCCTGGTGAGTTTGGGGGGTGGGGCAGGGAAGAAGGAGCACCTAATCCTGGGTCTGTCGGGGAGCCCTCCGGCCCAGCCCCCCCTCTGTACAGGGGTGCCTGTGGGGTCCCCCATATTGCAGAAGGGGCATCCACCGCTGCCCACGCTTGTATGGGGGTGATTTTGACCTGAACCCCCTTTCTCACCCCACAGCACCCATTTTGTATATGCCTTCCAATTCCTGATCCCCCCACATCCCTTTTCTCCCTGCACCCCCAAACCTAGATTCTCCTGACAGTGTGGGGGGGCTGAATTTGTGGGGGGCATTGAACCCTGTGGGATGCTATCAACTGAACCCCACTGTTGACCCCCCCTTTTCTCTCTGCCCCCAAAAACCCAGAGCCACGGCCCCGCCTGGACTCCGAAGGCACCGACACGGACCTGTTAGAATATGACAGCCCGGGGGTCTACGAAAATGGGGTCACCCCATCCGACGTGACCCCAGACCCCAGCTACCCCCCCACCCCGCTGCAGCCCTGGAGGGGGGACCCCCGCCGGACTTGGCACCCTCTGGAGAACGGAGGACCCCCTCGAGTGCCCCCTGCGGATGCATCAGACCCTGAGGACGAGTGGGGGTGCCGGAGGTTCCCTGCCCGGACACCGGGGTTCCCACCCGAGGGACTGTGGGAGGGGGACGAGGCAGGGCGCCCCCTGGTGGGCACCCCACCCAGCGGCAGCTCTGGAAGCCTCCAGGAGGAAGAGGAGGAGGAGGACTATGAGGAAGATCTCCCCCAGCTGGATATTGGGGAGCCCCAGGCGGCGCCAGAGGTGGCGGGACCCCCGGGGCACTCTGGACTGGGGGCTGACAAGCTGCCTTCAGGGGTGGGGGCTGCGGCTCAGGGTGAGAAGGAGACAGGAGCAGCCGTGAGACAGGTAAGAGGGGCAAAGGGGCACCCCCATCTTCCCACCTCCCAGAACCGGGAGAGAACCCAGGAGTCCTGGCTCCCAGCCCCTCCCCCCAACCACCAGCCCCGACTCCCATGCCCGAGCTGGGAGAGAACCCAGGAGTCTGTCAGGACGGGAGGGGGGTTGTGGGCGTGGCCCAGCTGATGAAGCTCCATGGGATTGGCTGGTGTCCTGGCTCCTGTCTCATAGCAACTGCATCCTCCATCCAGCATCCCTCCCGCCCCACTGCAGCATCTCAGCCCCGCCCAGCACAGCCGCAGTGGGGGGTGCTGGGAGGAACTGGCGGTGGGGAGGGGGGATGCTGGTCTGGTGAGTTAGAGGGCAGGGGGCTGGGAGCCAGGACTCCTGGGTTCTCTTCCCGGCTCTGGGAGGGGAGGGGGTCTAGGGAGTTTGAGTGGGGGGACAGAAGGCCAGGACTCCTGGGTTCTCTCCCCGGATCTGGGAGGGGAGAGGATTGTAGGGGGTTAGAGCGGAGTGGGGCGGGGAGTCACGTGGAGGGTGGGGGATGTGGGGTGGGAAGTTGTGGGTGTGTTTGCAGGGGGGGGGGGGGGCGGAGGAGGGGGGGGGGGGGGGGGGGGGGGGAAGGGGCAGAGGGAGGGGTCTGGTGGGGAGCCGC